CTATGATTCTATGATTCAGCAGACCTAACTTCATTGTTAAATAATGACTGGTTAACTGTGTGTTTTGCTGAATTTGAATAAGGAAAACAGATGAGTGTGTTTTGACATCTTTCTCCTGTAGCAATACAGTGCTGCAGTGTTTGGGTTTCAAACATGTAGGGAAGCTTGAATTCAAAGTTTGATTTCTTGGAAATTTTTCTGTTTTTAAATGTCTTCTAAAAATTACTTCTCTCAGTATTGTTTTGGGCCTAAATTGATCTCTCTCCAATATGGCTGCTGATTTGGCTTTTTGCCTTGTCCAGATGGCAAAAGAATACCTGAGATCAATGAAAGAGAGTAAAAAGTCAAAGGGTCGTCGCCAGCCCTTGAGCAAACTCCCACGTCATCACCCACTCGTGGTAAAAGACTGCATCAGCGATGATGGTAAGTTCCGTGCTCAACATGTACAGGGGGTGGCAGTGGGTTGTCTGGCAAAAACCCTGGACAGGAGAGGGCTTCTGAGACCAATGGAGAACTTTCCCCATGGTACCTGAAAATGTGGGATGTATCCAACCATGTGCCAGCTGGGTGGCCTAGCCCAGGTTCTTGCTTCATTCTCTTGCTCAGCCCCTGTGTAGTGGAATTGGTTCACCTAAGGTTCACCTGCACTTTTTCATCAGGGGGTGCAGGTGGGAGGAGAGAATGTGTGTGTGTGAGATTATATATAAATCTAGAGGACTGAAAACCTCTGCCATCCAGTAGAACTTTAAAAGCCTCTGGTAGAATTCACAACTAAGATTTCCTTGGAGCAGTTCCAATAATTGACTTAATATCTGTACTTTAAAATAGATTATTGGCTAACACCCAACCCGTGGGGAACTGATTGGAAGGAAGATAGGCTTCTGAGGACAGGAGTAGTGCTATAGTCACCATTTCATAGTTTCGTAGTTTCTAGGGTCGGAAGGGACCTGAGAAGATCATCTAGTCCGACCCCCTGCCATGGCAGGAAAGAGTACTGGGGTTAAACAACCCCAGCAAGGTGTTCATCTAACCTCTTCTTAAAAACCCCCAGAGTAGGAGCCTGCACCACCTCCCTTGGAAGTTGGTTCCAGACCCTAGCCGCCCTGACCATGAAATAGCGCCT